TAATTGCTAAAATGCAGGTCTAAAATGTCACCAATATTGTCATTTTTCCTCAGGAGGACATGACCAACAAGAGGTTGCTTGTCAGGAATACATACTGTAAACATGGGTCATTTGTGTTTCAACCTACAAACACTGCTATTTTTCTTGTGAGGTCAGTCTTCTTCATTTCAGACCAAACGCGAATTCAATCCTCAATGGGGTTTTAGCGCTGGACAACTGCCAAGTGTTTACACACAACGCAATAACCCAAATAAACACAACTCGCCATTACTACAGCTGTATAAACCCAAAGTAAATATTTTGCTGTCATTAAATAGCAACAAAACAGATCAAATTAACTTCAATATGATGCAGATTTGGTAAACATATGAATTCATGCTTTGTCAGGTCTGTCAGCATGTTAAATGTTTGTTTTTTGAATGGAGTTCTGATCGATCAGGGCTATGCCATGCTAACTTGTTCACAGTAAGGTACAACAATAGCTGGAATAAAGTTACAGACACATATTTTCTGAACTCACCAGGTAGTTCAACTTCCTCGCTTTCTTTTCTCCAAGTAATGTCCAGTTTTGTCTGTTTTTTTTTATATAAATAAGAAGTAGAAGTCCATCAGAGCTCTGGGTGCCAACCGACGCTAACAACAATAGTGGAACCGCATGTGCACGGAAGTTAGCTGCTGTGAAGCTCGGGTGAAGATAAATTAACGTTGTAATCCCAAAAATTAAAGTAAAAAGCTAATATAATAAAAGCAAAACTCTGAGCTCCACTCAAGAGTAAATGGTTTAGTTTTCAGAGCATAATCCAGTCCAATCACAGGTGTTTATTTGTCCAAAAGCTGCAGCGCTGTTTCGACTTCTCCCCCAAGTTTAGCAGCTCTCTGTCGGCCAGCGGCATTTCAATAGCCCGCTCTGCCTGGCCTTCTCCACACAACGGTCTGAAGCTGTCGGTGACGTCCAGATAATCTGAACTCTGATAGGCTATCGCAATTCAGCGGCATGCGACTCGAGTTGAAAATTTAGAAACTCGAGCAAAGGCCTTTTTGGGCGGTGCCCCCATCGCACTGCCCAATAGGAAATTGCAACTCTACGCGTCTTTGCATTGACTTTGTATGTAAATGCACCGCCCCCAACGCTCACTTCGCTTTTGGTCTGAAAGCACCTAAACCACTCCACCTTGGTAAGCCCTTGAGTCTGCCCTTCACAATAAACTATGGATGATATTTGACCAGCAGTACCCACCGCCAAACACAGCTCAGCACTCTACTCTACTTGTCAGATTAAAAAGATCAAAAGTCGGAAAAAGGCAAAGAGGGTGAGGGAGATAAAGTATGAGAGAGGGAGAGAGCGGACTTGAAAGGGAGACTACATGGAGAAGAACACAAGAACGCAGTGTCCTAATTAATGTCTTCCTCCATTAATCTACTCTGAAGCCTCCCATGCTGCTGGGTTTGATCTCAGCAACGTTGCTATCAAAGCTTTGTAACATGGTCTTGTATTATGTGGAAGATCTCAGTAAGACAGAATTAAGGAAAATCATTCAGTACAGTTGCTTCTTGTTGCCGATGCTGTGATGTCTGTGATGCAGGTGGGGTTTTGTACATCAACTTCTACATTGCAAAAGGCATCGCTATCTGTAAGTTCTGATTCTGCATTAGAACAACAGCCCAATTTAAAGCTCCACTACTCAGGATTTGTGAATGCGAAGTCAATGTGAAGGCTATCGCTTGCAGTGGCAAATCCACAAAGAATTGTCAGCCAAGTCTGCAGCTTTACAAGGCTTTTTATCTTTGGTTACTCTGGTTTTATGGCCTGAAAATTCACCTCAAAAAGCTCTGATAAACCAACTGCACGCTACCTGCTAAGCACCAAACGGGAGACAGACAAGCTTAGTGATATTTTGTTTTGGGAGTTGGTTGAGATCAAAACTGTCTCACCGTTCTCATTGCATCACACCAAGGATACATTTTCACACTACCAGCCTAGCACAAAAAAAACTAAGTTAGTAGCTAGCTAGTGAACATAGTAGATTTAGCAGCTAAAGAGACAGCTTTTTCCCTTAGGAGTTGATGGAGACCAAAACAGAGGTAAAAAGAAAGTGAGTATTGGACTTAAATTTGTTAAGTGGCCAGCTCTAATGTCATTGCATTAACAACTTCATGTGGTGACAATGTGATACTGTCAGGGCTTTGTGATTTTCAGCTGGTAGTAGAGTTCTTCTGTCCCAAAAATCAATTATTTCAGCTTTAATGATGTGCCAAATCCCAGGAGAAGCAACAGGTAATGATCCCAGTGACCAGTGTGAGCACAGAAAACAAAGCAAGCCTTCGACTGACAAACTGTTGTTATCTGACTGACAGATAAAACATGACAGTGAAGGCACCTCCCTGATGTTGACTTTCACATTCAGCACAAAATGCTAGGGGATGTTTTGGTTGTAATGGCCAAAGCTAAGTGCATCCCAGCTACAAACAAAGCATCTGATCGTCAATCTCAGCTTGTGAGGAGGGAATCTTCGAATCGAATAAAAACTCTTATCGAATAAAACCTCAAAATGCCATTAGCAAGAGACAAAAGACAGAACAAAATGGCAAGAGGATCGTTGGTAATTCAGCAAAAGGGAAATCAATGGTCCTCTTCCTGCTTTTTCTGTAGCTACCCAGCGTCTGTCTACCCTGTCAAGCATCCCGGACTCCCTGCCTGTCAATCTCCCCCCAAAAGTGTAGAGGAGCTGAGGTGGGGGCTGCAACTGCCCGGAGCTCCCACCTCAGAGGAGAGGTTCGAGGCAAGAAACAGTGACTCAAAAAATCATAAACATCTCACATTTCCTCTGTCAGCTCTAAAAATACTCCTGTTCGCCTTCGCCTCACATCGCCTCCTCTCTGGTCTCAAGGAGCTATGCAAATTCCAGCCCCTGCATATTTTTTCTCTCCCGCTTTGTTTTCCTATCACACCCCTCCCTCAAAGCCCCCAATTCTATTGTTCTGACTACTTCTTCTCTATCTCTTGTAGACTACATGACAGAGCCTCGCCTTCCCTCTTGTTGTTCCTACTCTCTCCAGGGTAGGGGGATAAATGATAAAAGCTATTTACAAGTAACTGTAGGCAACAGTGGAAATCCAAGACTTGGAAAAATTCAAGCTTTTTTTTTTTTACCCTGTTTTCTTTGATGGTAGAGCCATTTGTGATGCTGCTTGGTGAACTGCAGCACAGTGCAGCGCAGTCCTGAGTGACAATTTAAGGTGGGAGTGAAGCACATTTAGGGACTTTGAGTATGCCAGCTTGTGCAGATTGTGTTTGGCCTTTGTTCTTGAAAAAAGGAAGCCAGACATCAGTCCTGCTTGGCACATGCGGAGAGGCAAAAACACAATTCCTCGGTACATCTCAAACACGTACTAAACATTTAGAAGGCTTCTGAAGTTTTAAACACACAAACTGAGGGGCTTGCAGCAAGCAGGACTCAGTGGGTTCTGGTAATAATCAGAAGTCCATCAGCCTGCGGTCTATTTCAGGGAGCTGTTCTGGGGCTTGTAGAGATATGATTGTGATGCACATTGAGATTTATAAAGCCCAACAAAGACATCCATGTAAGTGCCACTGGAAACACTGGCTTTCATGACAATCGTAATGAATCGCCTGCCTCATCTCTCTCCTTTCTCCCTTGTCGTGTGTTGATCACCCCTTTTCTATTCAACAGACTCTAATTGCACGCTCTTTTTCTTTCCAGACTCTACTTGCCATGCATTACCCACTGCCCCCACCCCCACTTTTGCGACGAACAATCTCTAACCCGGCCATCCCCATTTCCTCTTTCTCCCTTGATTGATTCTCACCTTTTCCATTCTTGCCGCTCACCTCATTAACGGAGCCCCTGTCTGCTCGTTTCCTATTTTGCCTCACACTCCTTCCTACATCCTAATCCTCCCTACCCCCCGCCCCTCCTCACTTCCTGTCCTGTCGTCTCTGAAGCGACGGCCGGCTCGCATTCATAGTCTCCAGCTCAGGCCCTGCGACATTCTGTAATTAGAAAGGAGCATAATAGAGAAGGTTCTTCATCAGTCGAGGTGGAAGGGGAGGAGGGGGGGCACTACCACCATCTATCCATCCATCCATCCATGAGTTTAATCAGAGGCACACAATAGGATGTCACCTGCTCCCAGACACAGCCGCTGAAGAGAGGCAGTGATGCTGTCACAAACCATTTGGGGTGAGGCGTCCCTTTAAGGCCTCCTCTTCCTCCATGGTTGTCTCTGTTAATTTGGTCTCCCTGGGAACTAGGGAGAGGAAACCCGTGAAAAATCAGGCTAATTTAGTCATCTTTATTTATTTATTTACAGACACTTATCCAGCATATTCTTGTTTATTGGTTTTGCTTCTAAAATCCCTGAGGAATCATGGATATCTGAGTGCACGAATGTTAGCTTTCATATATGTGTGTGTTTGTAAAGTATTTTACAGAAAGGTTAATCTGCCCTTTATCAGTTATACCCAGAGGAGGAAAGTAAATAAGTACTTTTACTTATTTTTTCCCCCATTTTATATTATTTTATCCTTTGCACTTTTTACTTTTTTTATTTTATTTTTGTGCTCCATCCATCAAGACTGTTGTTTATGACATATGTCTGTGGTCAGAGTATTTTGCAAACATTGTATACAACAATATTTGTGAAAGTTACAGAGTATTAAAATAAATAAGGCTGTTATGATCTTCATTACTTCATTACCATGCAATGTGTGAAGAATTACTTATCTTAACCAGTTTGCTAATTGATTTTCATCATATAGATATGAATGGAAATCTGTGGTTGCCTGGGATGGTAGCAATCCTAAATTAAATAAAGGATCTGAGTACTTCTTTCACCACAGGTTACCCCAATTCTTTAACACTACACAAACACACTAATCCATGCGCACTTAGTCACTTACTCATTTCCTCACTGGCTATAGCCAAAGACACACAAGTGACAATGAAACACTGTCTCAGTCTGTTTTGTCTGTTTGGCAGAGTTTGTGCGCAGAGAGACAGACACACTGTGAAGCCATGGGCTGTGGGCTGCGTAAGATGAAGCCAATGTCGGACGAGTGCAGTCCAGGGAAAATTTACTCCACCCTGAAGAGACCACAGGTGGAGACCAAGGTGGGCGTGGCCTACACTTACCGCTACCTCGACTTCCTCATTGGCAAAGATGGTAAGACATGAATTTCTACCAGTGCTTAAAGATGGCGTCAAATAATCTGTGACCTTTACTGTTTTTTATTGATAGCCTGAGGGAAATTCAACAGCAAACAGAGTATATCCCACAAAGCTGAACACTAAAAGCCAGAAAGCTCAGCATAGCAGTGGTTGCTATTGATCAGTAATCTCCACAGCCCGCTTTTGTAGATATGTTATGGTCATTTTGTGCTGCTGGGGGGTCATAAAAATCTAAATTATTGCCCCTTCCACATGCACAGTTGAAATGATATGAATAGCTCAAAGCCTTTGGCATTTTGCTGAGTCATACCTTTGCATTATAAGGCCGCAATATGCTTTGCAAGTTCTGCAAGGGGTTGATCTGCACTGCAATCTACAACTCTGTGCTATTTGTAGTACTTTTCTGAATAATGCTACCTCCAGTGTGATTAATCTGTCTACACCCTGTTTGAAAATGCCATTATAGCTGTAGTAATTCCCAGCAGAAAAACATTGAGGATTCAGAAGCAGACAAAATCTATCACTCATGTATATGGAATAACAGCACATTGGCTGTAATTTTCATCAAGATCTTCTTGTAATGATGGAGTGTTAATTAACGCCTGCTCCCTCTATAGCAGCTACTGTTGTAATTTCGTTTCTGACAATTAGTCAGTCATGCTTTCACGTTGTGCTAATGATATAGAATTTTCCAGCCCAGTCCACGCCAAACATCCTGCTGGCACCCATCAATTATGCATGGCAGTGAGTCCAACCCGCTAGCAGGGGATGCAAACAAAGTAAAGGGTGGTCTGCTGGGTAGAGAGATTGTTTTGTTCAAGGTCACAGGTTTGATCCTTACAAAACTTTTCAGTTAGTTCCATTATGTTTCAGTTGGTGACATACTGGTCTAACTGAGCTGTAAACATGTAGGCCTAAACAAGTTGCTGCCAGTTAAACAGAAAAGATAGTCAAACAGGGGCTCCCTGTGCTGTGGATGAAAATGAATTAGTTCCCTTTACAAAGATAGCATCCCCACACCAACACACAGAAAAAAGAGAGAGAGCCCCTTCCTCTCCTTCCTCTCCTCAGTCTGAGGTGTTTATACGATGGAAGGTGGGTGTTGCTTCCTGAGATGCCAAGACCTAAATTAACTGCTCGGATGCTTCTTTGTGTGATGTGTATGAAGGAGTTTCCAACACAGGCAGATTATTTTCCTACAGAAGCTGCAGTTTAAAGTAAACGTTAACATTTAGATCAGTTTTAGGGTGGGTAAGGTTTGTCTAGATTAGTTTTACATACTAAATAAGGTTAAATCATGTTAAATTAGGTTAGATTAGAAAAAAGGGTAGGTCACATTAAATTAAGATAGGGTAGAGTTAAGCTAAGTTCATATATGGTCAGTTTATTGATAAACATTTGCACAAACTGATTTTGGCAAATTTTTAAAATCTTATTATATAGACTTTATTTAGAGCGGCTATAACAAATATTTAAAATGCATTTTAAAAAAATATTTAAAATACATTTAAAATGACACTGTATCCAATGCAAAAACAATGTGAGTATATAAAAGGGGTAGCTTAAACTGATGAACCTACAGAGAATTATCACATGAATAGTGAGTTTCAACTCAGTGTCTAACTGTCTGACTGCAACCTTATTGTTTTAGTTCACTCTCACCACTCTCATAGTGTTGGTTTCTGCTACAGTTAGCAACTAGCTGATGGAGCATTTAGCAGCTATAGAGCCAGATATTTCCCTCAGGAGTTGGTAAACACCAAAATTGGAGCTAAAGGAGAGTGAGTAATTGGACTTAAATTCACCAGGTGGCCAGAAACACGGCTCCACATTAATGATTAATGTTGCACCGTAAGTTTGCCATATCAACTTAGGTGATGCGGTAATGTGTCAATGTTGTGTTCACAGCTTTTTTCAGCTGTCGCCAAGTGGGCAAATATAAATCAGTTGTTCCAGGTTTAAGAGATGTGCTTAAATAAAAAAACATGCAGCAAATGTAGGGAATTTGGGGTTGTCGGGAGCAATGTATATGTATTGTTTTCCAAAGCATTTGGTGTAATTTGGTATGGCTGCATGTTAATACTTGCACAAATACGTAACATGCTCTGCTTGTCTGATGAGACACAGTCAGTATGTTTGCATCCATACATATAAGTTGTTAACTGCTGTGGTGTTGCACTCCTGTATGCTACAGCCTTGTCCCTATACAAATCTACTGAATTTACAAAGCACACAACACAACCAATATTCCTGATGCTGTTGGTTGTCATGGGACAGGCATTTTGCTAATCCCACATACTGCTTTGCCTCATATTCACTTCCATGACATTTTGCAGGTTTCACACAGAACCAAAAGAAAGTAAGAGACTGGACTAAAGCATATCAATACCCAGAGTCATTTAAAAGAGCAGCTCCATTATTAGACAATTAGTAAGAGAGCTGGGTAAGGTGTTCAAATGACAATGCAATAATCAACGTATTGTTCTTACACTGATTATAATCAAATTATTAGGCTGCCTGTCCTTCCGCCAGGAGCAGGAAGTTGAGTGTAATGTCATCTGCCACGTTCTACAGATTTACAGTATATCAGCATTGGGGTTGAAGTTGAGGTAAATTTAAGATTAGGTGAAGAATTAGGATTAGATATAGGTTAAATTTATAATGGAGGTCATTATGGTTAAGGTCAGAAAATGGGAAATTAATGTGCTGATGGAAGATTGTGTCTGTGTTTGTGTGTATGTGTGCGCTCTATGCCAAGGAGGAGTCAGGGTGCTTTATGCAGCCATCACTCTGTTATTTCTGCTTATGACAGTTATAGCTCAAATGATGTTTGGAGGGGAGTTTGGTGCCAGTGGTGGGAGGGGGTTGTGGTGGAGGAGGTGGGGTGGTACGGGAAGCCTGGAGATGTAGTGCACGGCTTGTTCGCCCTGACAGTTGATTAGTCTCCATTAGTTTGTCAGGCTGACTAGACTGGATGGATGAAGGAGCTGGGGATCTTGGGCTTCTGGGGGACATGCAGGGTTTTCCACCCCCCCCCCCCCTCGTATGGGACCTGACATAAGGACGGGAGGAGGAGGGGAGGTGGACGAGTGCCTCCCTTTTGTTGAACTGTGTGTGTCTTTGGCTCATGGCCACATTATTATCTTCAAGTATTTTCTGTAATGGTGGGGGTTGGTACTTACTGTAATCAGTTTCCTCTTGCGCTGTCTCTCTGTCACTGTCAGTACGCCTCTGTCTGTTTCTCTGTTGTTCATCTCTTAAAAATATGTGCGTGTGTGTGTATGCGCACGAGTATGTGTGTCTGACTGTTTCCCATAGGAGCACATTAAGTTTGAGAAATCAGAGTCTGTACGCGCAGTCCCAGCAGCTGAATCATTTCACTGCATCAGCAGGTTTTCAGGTTGAAGGGTTAGCGTGTTACTCACGGCTGTAATTACCTTGTACCAGGTATGTAAGTATAGGTAATGATTCATGTGTCTGGCCTTTTTCTACAGGAAAGCTGTAAAATATTTACGACACAGTCAAAGATTATGAATATGGAAACAGTCTCTGGTAGAGCTGTAGGGTGTGCACATAAATACAGATACTTACAGTGTGAGCTGCAACAAAAATCTGTGATCATTTTTGTGATCGACTGTGACAATTGGCTCAAAGTAGAAACTGGTATTGTGTATATTCATTAAAATAAAGTAGTTACTCTACGCATTCCTTAAAGGAAGCGTATTCTTGTCAACTTTACCCCAACTCGGATATTCTTGATGATAATCTTTATGCAATTGAAACAGTAATGTCATATACTGATGTGACAGGAACAAATAATATGATTATATTAATGAATTAGTCTGTGTATTGTGACACAAAATAATTGATCCATGTTACTTTGATCCTGTAGGCCAGTAAGCAGAATCTGAAACAATTACAATGTCATATGCAAAACAGAAGCAACTGTGGAAGGACATAGTTTTTTTTTGTTAACTTCTAATTCAGGAACCATTTTCCCTGTCACTGTCCAATTTTGCTTAATGAGAGAAAGGATATGTACCAGAAGCAGCAGAAACATCTGCATCAGCATTTTTACCTGGGGACAAATTAAGGATGACTTTTTGCTTCTACTTCACCTCTTTCTTCTTGGGAAATACACCCTCATGATGTTGAGTTCACTTCACCATGACAACTGCACTGTATTTGTTATAATTCCTTGCCACAGTGTTAGATCATATCTTTCTGCAACTTCCACCACAATGGCCCACAGGCTACTAACCAGCCACCAAATGTGCAAAAATAACACCTTTCACTGCAGAAACAGTGATGAAAGGGAGAGTAAATCGGTGGAAAGCTGGAGGTAATAAACCTTCTCTGCACTAAATAGCAGCATCAGCCCACCAATGAGTTGTTGCCTCATGTTGCTGCATCATTTTGGAACATGAATACAGCTTCACGGTCACTCTGCTACCATTCAGTAACCTCTGAAAGAACGACAGAAAAACAAAAAGGAGAGTCTGTTTGATATTGAGATCATGACCCTACAGGGAGCTGAGAAAGCGCCTCGCTGTTGCTGTGTTAGATGGTGTGGAAACAAGCCATTTAATCGTAAACACAAGCACAACTGACACAGGGATGTGTTGCATGAATCTTATTTCCCAAAATGTGATTTCGAAATGTTCAAAATGTCAGGAGAAATGAAAAATGAAATGCTCAACATGTCGCAGCTTCCCGGCAGGCAGGTTAGGAATACCGGAAATATAAAGAAGTCGCCCTTGACATCAAAGACGGTGAGCAGACATGTGAGGCCTGCACACGCACACATACACACACACGGGCCCAGACACACACCGTTTGATATCATCTCAGGAGCTAGACATGTCATTTATATGCAAAACCCCCAGAGCCCCAAGTCCCCTTGTTAATATGAGCTGTAGCAGTGGCGGCAGGTGAGTGACACGCAGGAACAGCCTTTCCACCGTCACTCCACTCAGATATAAGACCGAGCTGCAG